GAGTGGTTGTTTTCATCTTCATGGTGATGAATTTAGTGTGACCTGTTCATTCCTTTTTTGCTCACCACCAATTTCTTAATGCTTTGCCTTAGACATGGGTGTGAAATTGTCATGTTTGGGGTTTGTAAATTAGCAAACAGGAAAATTGATTACTTCTGTGCTTGTATGAGTAGATTGTGAGGTTCTTTGCATACCTTCCTCATTGTATCTGTTAGGAGAATTCCAGGAGAAGTTTGCTGCCTTAATCTTGTTTTTGATTGAGAGGATTCAGCAAAGCTCATGGCTTTGGATTCTGCATGCCATGAATTTCATGCCATTTGTTAAGTCAGCCACCAATGGGATAGGTACAGAATTAAAATTAATCTTTTGAGATTTTGGTTCTCTTACAGTCTTATTAAGGGCATTCGTTTTAGTATTAGGGATAGATTGCTATGGCAAAAATGCTTTATTTCCATTTGTAATATTTATACTTTTAGACTGATTCTTATGCTTGTGTTTTTTTTCTTCCATTTTATATTTGTCTAAATTATGGAATTAGTTTGTGAGACTGGGGATGATTTTGAAGGGTCTGTCATGTGCTATTGCTACCACGTGTGTAGAGGGATTGAGAAATGAGACAGAATGGAGAGGTGGAGAAACATGTATTCCCTGGGAAAGACTTCTGTTGCATAATGCTGTGTCATGCTAGTGAAACTTATTTTCATGGCAAGATTATGGCTTCTTTAGGAAAAACAACCAGGCTTATTCCAGCTGTCAAGTGGTGGGATTGATGAGAAATGAAGAGGTGGTGTTTTGTTGTTTTTCTTCTCTTTTGATAATATGTATGTATGGGATAATCTTACCTTCTTAGCACTACTTTGGCATTTATAGTTAGGCCATTTAGGTGTGTTGGATTATTCAGATTTTGGTAGGGGGCATTTTGTACCATCTGTCAGAATTTTTTCATGTATTTGTTATGTGTTATCCTACCATTTTTATTTTGATTTCTTGCCCCACAGATTTCCTTCTGGAATATCTGGACGTGTTTGTGTCTGCCTTCTCCAATATAGTTGATTAGTTGTTGTGAAAAGGATGTAATCTTGTGGCTTCCAAGAAAGTGGTGGTGAAACCTATATTGGAAAACCTTTCTCAATCAGATGATATTTGCTTATTATGTTCTGGTAGGCTAATTATAGACTGGCTGTTGACAAAATAATTTGGAAGGTGAGAAGCAGCTGCTTTCTGATAGAATATAATGTAGCTAGTTGATCTTTGGAATTTCTCTGTCTTTTTAAAATCACTGTAATAATTCATTCCAAACACATCAATTAAATGCTGACTTTTAATCATCTGTGTAGCAGAGGATCCTATTGCTGTGCATGAATTTCTTAGAAGCGATTAGTAGGGTTTTTACTTGGCTTGGCAATGGCCAACACAAATAGAATACGAGCTTTTTAAAAGAATGCCTTGATTCAGGTACTTGAATTGCGTGTTGTCATCAATATACCAATGATAGTTACCAAAATTTTTGTGAATATTTCATTTTTTTTGGAAAGAGCCTTTATTTGTTGATTGTATGTTTCCTTTTTTACATGTGTATCTGTTAAATTTCTTGAATACTCATCGTGTCCAGGCATATAAAGAGTATGAGACTTAGGTGTATTTAATCATCTTAGCTAAGAAGCAGTTGAGATTGGAGCAGTTATGGGTAGTGGAGGATCATTTGAAATGTGCTTCCGTTAACCTTTGAAAGGCACCATTGCATCAGTTTTGTCAGACCAAAATTTCTGGTTAGCAGTAGTGAATTGATGAATGACTGTTTCACATTTTACAGACCATGATTAGTTATGTGTCTTTGCTTCACAAGCATGTATAAAACATAATATGTGATTCTGTGTTTTATTGAGTTATATACAGAAAACATACCTGTTGAGGGATTGAGAATACATTCAGATAGCTTGATTTTTGACAGGATATTTTCAAATAAACATTAGGGTGGCTATCAGGAAATCTGAGTTAGGCTTTGCTGTGCCTTTATGTAACAATACCTGGCACATAATCATATTTTAATGACCTGTGGGAACAAATTTTTTGACTTATTTGGGTCTCAGTATCCTCATTTATAAAATCAACATAGTGGAATAGTTTATCTTTGAAGTATCTTTTTGTTTAAAAATTCTGCAGTTTTATTTAAGGTGAGGGCATTTGCCTTTGTCTTCTCTTTCTAGTGATGTTTTGGGGTTTGACATTTTTAAAGAAAGTTATCACTATGGTCAAATTTGGCTTGACTCCTTTAAAGATAGGCTGTAAATATTTGGCTGTATAGCCTTGAAATGAATTTTGGTATGACTACTTATTTATTCCCATGTTTTCAACTACACAGACTGTTGTGTTACAATGTGGTTGTATGATTGCCATTAGTAACTTTTGAAGTAAGCAAAGGAGGGTTGATTGATCTTTTCATAACATACTGTGTTGGAAACAGATGTTTGATGCGGCAAAGAAAAATTAGCACTGAGACCAAGGATCTTTTAGAAGGTCAATTTTTACTTCCTGGACTGCAGGAAGGGTAACCTTTCTAGTCATTTTACCATGAGAGTACAGTGAACAAAGGAAAGCAGACATGTTTTTTCCTTATGCATCTGGGGTCATCCTTACTGCTGTGTCTGATCTCCATTGGCTGGAGCCAGATTTCACAATCTAAACAAAGCCCAATTGGCTAACAACTTAAAACTTCTCTAAACAGGTAAAAGCAATGGAAAGCTGGGGCATACCTGTGAGCATGTCCAGCACAGATATCTTGGTTAAAGTACAAGAACATAGAATGTACTACGTCCCTGTAAGCATGGCATGTCTAACAGCTACATAGGATAGGGTTTAACAAAGAGTTATTAGCACACTTATGATTTATTCTTTAACAAGAAAGGAAATTTTAAAGAGGAACTTTTCTACTTCTCACGTATCGTATTATAGGATAGCATTAAGAAAGTTGGAAGTGTATCTTAGAAATAATTTATTCCAGCTCCCTCATTTAACAGTTAGAGAACTATACCACAAAACTTTTTTAAATTTATGTGCTTAACTTGTATCAGAAAAAGAACATTAATTTTATTCTCACTTAGTCATTCAACAAACATCTCCTTGAACCTGTTAAGGAGCCTTTTTTTGAAGATCAGATTGTGAATAATGTTATTAACATTTTTATTTTGATGTAAAATAGTTCTGTCTCTAATTCTGTCTCTCTCTGATGAAGAAGGAAACACCTTTCACACTTCCCAAATATATTTGGCCTTCAAATCTTGACCATTTTATTTCTTCTTTATTTAGTGCTTATTGACCAAGCTGACATTCTGTATAAGGCACTATTTAAGGTACATATATTCAGTGTCAAGTAAAATTTCACTCTCTCAAATTGAACTTATTGTCTGCGAAATTTTTCTGATGTCCCTTTTTCCTCACCTTAATAAGCTCCATAGTGTTGTAGATTACTATCACTACCTTTTCCAATATAGTAGGGCACAAAGGCAAGGAACAATAAATGGAAAACATTTGGTAGTGATAAGTGCTATGAGAAAAATAAAGCATGATTAGTGGATAGTGATCAGTGGTGTACTATTTTATGTAAGAGTGGTCAGGAAAAGTCTCTCTGGTAAGATAATTTTTGAGCAGGATCTAGAGGAAGTGAATATGCAGTATCTGGGGAAAATAGCATTTGAAGCACAGCAGCAAATAGGAAATATAGTAAGTTTAATAGTCTTACACTTTTAATAGCACGCCAAAACTTTTTAATGACTAATGTCATTCAGAGCAAGAGATATTGAGTGATTACACTATAATTGAAATGGGTTTTTTCACTTCATTATCATCTTAGCGCTTGTTTCACTTTTCTTCTCAACTTTTTTTTCTTTTTCCTTTCTTTGGCTTACTCTGTTGTATGTTTGTTAAAGGATTTTTTGAAAATATTTTCAATCATATTAAATATTCTTTTTGCTGTAGTCTGCATTTTTTTTTTTTTTTACTGTCTTTTGGTTTCCTAATCCTGTTTCTGGCTCTCTTTCATCTGTTTATGTCATCTATTGAGTTATTAATAGTACATACTTCTCAGGTCTAGAATTTCTGTTTTATGGATTCCAGTTCTCTGGTGAGAATCTCTATCCTGTTCATTTTTCTCTATTTCTCTTCCATTGTTTGGATGTGTTAAGAACTCTTACATACATTTTAAAAACTCTTTAATAACTAGTATCTAAACCATCTACGGACCTATTTTATCTGTTTTCTATGTGTGCGTATATGTGTGAGAGTGAGAGAGAGTGTGTGTGTGTGTTCCTTTTTGGTTTTGTCTGTTGTTATCTCTGAAAATTTTGTTTTGGAAGCTGGACATCATATTCGAAAAACTGGAAAGACTGTAGGATATTAAGAATTTCCAAAGAGAGTTCATCCTTTCCTGTCCTAGTAGGTAGAATTAGGGGCTAATCACCTTGTTCCGGTGGGTCTCAAACTTTGGGATGTATTAGAAATATAGATGCCAAGGCTTGTTGCAGTAATGCAGGGTCTCCCATCTCTTGATCCAGTTCAAGAATGGTCAAATGCCCCAAGGGAAAAGCACCTTTGCCCTGTGTTATCCTACCTGTCAACATGTTTTTCCTTCTTCTGTTGCTTCCCTTTAATTCCTCATTGCCTCAGTGTTCCCCATTCCTTTAGGCAAAGCTCATATACATATATATATGTGTATACGTATATATACATATGTATATATACGTATACACATATATACACGTATATGTGTATATATATATGCATATACACATATACATATATACACGTATACACGTGTGTATATACACACACACACACACACACACATATACACACACATATGTATCTTTTCTTTTTGTTTCCAGCTGTAGCATTGATGTGCCACAAACCACTCAATCCTTCATGGAAGCAACAGTAGGCAATGATTTTATTCTGAAAACAAAACAGAAGAAAAACTCATGGTTTTATTTTTTTTTTTCTTTCAGGAAAAACATAAACAAGAATTGGAAGACATGAGGAAAGCTGGTCACGAAGCCCTCAGCATTATTGTGGACGAATATAAGGTAGAGGTTTGAGAGTGTTGTTTCTTTTATTAAACCTTGGATAACTTTTGTAAAAATTGTACACATGTAGGTATATGCAAACATAAACATATTATATGTGCAGTCTTATTTTGGCATAGAATTTCTTTCCATTGAGCAATAAATGTTCATTGAAAGCGTACTTGATGTATTACAAAGGAAATGTTAGACATTGGTCTACATTTGAGAAAGTTTGAGAATATTTGAGATATGATATCAGCAGATGAAGAAATTCAAGTACAAAATACTATAGAATTAGTTGCTAGATTATCTTTTGTCTCTGCTGTGTGACAGGAAAAAAATTAAGGTATGATATATATTGAAAAAATATTTTAGCTTTTTGCTTTTCTTAAATAGATTTGGGTACACTTAAGCAATAACAAAAATTATAATAAATGTCAATATTACTGATATACAGTAAAACTTTAAAATTATTTTTAAAATTATTTGATTCTATGCCTGCATAAACTGAATTATGTAAAGCACATTGAGCACTTAATATCAAGTTTTTATTTCCCTTTAAACTTCATGTTAGATCATTTTGCTTTTACAAGTTATGAAGGAATACATTTTTGTTGAAATAAAATTCAAACAATTCTCCCCAGAATAAACCAGTACATTCTTCTAAGAGATTTCTCCATCTACTTTTATATATTTATATGCTCATAACATGCTATATAGTTTTGATTTGATTTAAAAAATGTTATCTAACTAAATTTACTCTTTCCATATTTACTTACTGACTTGGAGATATTTTCATGTCAGCACATATAAGCTTATCCTGGTTTTGTTACTCTTCTATAGTTTTCATAATATAAACATACCATAATTTGCTTAACCATGCATGTGTAGCCATTTAGTTTTTCATTGTTCATTATAATAATAAATGTAAAAACTTCGCCCTATTACAGTTGGAATATGGTAGTTTTTGTGTTGATTAAACTTACTCACTAGACTTGATAGAAGTTGATGTCATTTTACTTGGTAATTTAGTGTCAAAAGCTTCCTTAAGAAATCATTTGGATAAAAGTAGGAAAAGAAGTAAATCCAAGATTAAGTGAAAAGTGTTTATTTTTTTTTTTTTTACCTAGAGTATTAAAATAGTCTACTAGATATGTCTTGGGACATGAAAGGTTATTTTTATGACCATGCCCAATATAGTAGCTGATGTTCATTATTAAAAAGGTCATCAAAAAATGTATGATTTTGACCAGGCACAGTGATTCATGCCTGTAATCCCAGCACTTTGGGAAGCCTAGGTGGGCAGATCACCTGCGGTCGGGGGTTCCAGACTAGCCTGGCCAACATGGTGAAACTCTGTCTCTATTAAAAATATAAAAATTAGTGAGGTTTGCTGGTGGACACCTGTAATCTCAGCTACTTGGGAGGCTGAGGCAGAAGACTTGAACCTGGGAGGTGGAGGTGGGAGTTACCCGAGATTGCACTATTGAACTCCAGCCTAGGCAACAAGAGTGAAACTCCATCTCAAAAAGGAAAAAGAAAGAATCTGATTTTGGAGAGAGAGATCCAAGATGGCCGTTTAGCAGCAGCTCAGGATTGCAGCTCCCAGTGAAGGCGCAGGGAGTGAGTGGACGACAGACTTCCAGATGAATTTTTGTTGCCCACGGACCAGAGATTCCCAGCGGAGAAGCTCCACGGGTTGCCAGCGCGACTCTTGGCTGGCACTGCTGTTTTGCCAGCGTCCCGGCGTGGCAGTTCTCAGTGTGGAGTATGCGGGACTGGGTGCCCTTTTAGTTGGTGTTTGGAGCTCTGGGAAGGCAGAGTTGCCCATTCAACTGATTGAAAGGGGGACTGAAGCGGGAAGCCAGACTGGGAGATTCCCGGGCAGAAAAGCACCACAAATCTCAACACTGCTGTTTCAGCCGACCAGGGGAGATTGCATAGATCTGGCGCCATTTTGGCGGGCGACTGGGGCACCTGGGAGAGAATGGACTGTTTAGTTAGGAAAAGAAAAAAGGGGGCTCCAAGGCTGGAGCCAGGTGATGGGGCTCGACTGGTCCCACCCGCACAAAAATATAGCAATTGGAAACATTGATGTTTGAGAGTTTTACAGCAAGCACAGCTGAACCCAGGAAGGTCCAGCTCTGTGGGGGAGGGGGCGTCCGCTGAAGGAAAACAAAGAAACAGAAATAACATCATCACCAACAAGCTGGACGTCCACTCAGAGACCCAATCTGAAAGTCAGCAATTACAAAGATGACAGGTGGATAAATCCACAAACATGGGAAGAAACCAGCGCAAACAGGCTGAAAATATCCAAAATCAGAATGCCTCTCCTTCTTAAGGGAATCGCAGCGCCTCATCAGCAAGGGAACAAGGCCTGATGGAGAATGAGTGTGATGAATTGTCAGCATCAGGCTTCAGAATGTGGATAATAAGAAACTTCTGTGAGCTAAAGGAACATGTTCTAACCCAATGCAAAGAAACTAAGAACCTTGAAAAAAGGTTTGACGGAATGCTAACGAGAATAGACAATTTAGAGAGGAATATAAGTGAATTATTGGAGCTGAAAAACACAATACCTGAACTTCATGAAGTATGCACAAGTTTTAATAGTCGAATTGACCAAGCAGAAGAAAGGATATCAGAGGTCAAGGACCAACTCAATGAAATAAAACGAGAAGACAAGATTAGAGAAATATGGGACTATGTGAAAAGACCTAATCTACGTTTGATAGGTGTACCTGAATGTGACGAAGAGAATGAATCCAAGCTGGAAAATATTCTCCAGGATATTATTCAGGAAAACTTTCCCAACCTAGCAAGGCAGGACAATATTCCACTCCAGCTAATATAGAGAACACCACAAAGATATTCATCAAGACGAGCAACTCCAAGGCACATAATTATCAGATTCACCAGGGTTGAAATGAAGGAGAAAATGCTAAGGGCAGGCAGAGAGAAAGGTCAGGTCACCTGCAAAGGGAAGCCTATCAGACTCACAGCAGATCTCTCAGCAACCCTACAAGCCAGAAGATAGTGGGGGCCAATATTCAACATCCTTAAAGAAAAGAACTTTCAACCCAGAATTTCATATCCAGCCAAACTAAGCTTCATAAGTGAAGGAAAAATAAAATCTTTTGTGAAGAAGCAAGTACTCAGAGATTTCATTACCACCAGGCCTGCTTTACAAGAGCTTCTGAAAGAAGCACTACACATAAAAAGGAACAACCAGTATCAGCCATTCCAAAAATATACCAAAAGGTAAAGAGCATCAACATAATGAAGAATCTACATCAACTAATGGGCAGAACAGCCAGCTAGCATTAAATGGCAGTATTAAGCTCACATATATTAATCTTAAATTTAAATCAACTAAATGCCCCAATCAAAAGACACACACAGGCAAATTGGATAAAAAGCCAAAAACCATTGGTATGCTGCATCCAGACCCATCTCACATGCAAGGATACACAAAGGCAAAACAAAGGGATGGAGGAAGATTTACGAACCAAATGGAGAGCAAAAATAAAATAAAATAAAATAAAAAGCAGGAGTTGCAATTCTCACCTCTGATGAAATAGACTTTAAAGCAACAAAGATCAAAAGAGGCAAAGAAGGACATTACATAATGGTAAAAGGGTCAATGCAGCAAGAAGAGCTAATGATCCTAAATATATATGCACCCAATACAGGAGCACCCAGATACATAGGCAAGCTCTTAATGACTTATAGAGAGACTTAGACTCCCACACAATAATAGTGGGAAACTTTAACATCACATTGTCAATATTAGACAGATCAACGAGACAGAAAATTAACAAGGATATCCAGGACTTGAACTCAGACCTGGAGCAGGTAAATTTAGTAAACATGTACAGAACTCTCCACCACAAGTCCACAAAACATACATTCTTCTCAGTACCATATCACACCTACTCTAAAAGTGACTACGTAATTGGAGGTAAATCACTCCTCAGTAATTGCATAGCATTTCACAGGTTTAAATGAAATATTGGTTGGCTGCTTGTTTGTTATTTTACTCCCTTATTCCTTCCTGTCTCCATTGTTAAGCACAATTATTGGCATAAAAGACTGCATTTTTAGACTGCATTCTAGCCTGGGCAATAAAGCAAGATGCCTGTTATCTCTCCCTCTTTCCCTTCCTCTTTCTTTCTCTCATTCTTTTTTTTTTCTTTCTTTATCTGTTTCTTTTTTTCTTTCTTTCTAAAAAAAAATAGTCTTATTTTTATAGCATTGATTTTTGGCCCTTTTACAATTAAATTTTTTTTTCTATTAACATAAACCAGTTTTACAGTTACTGAGTTGAGGAAAATTTCTATATTATTGTAGTATTGAGTTTCACATCTTCTTTTATCCCTGACACTGAGGGTAGGAAGAATTAAAATACAATTGGCCTAATATATTTGCAGATTCCATAACCATGGATGAGAAATTTGGGGGAAGGAAAGCAATAAAAATAACATTACAACAGTGAAAAGTAACACAGATTACTTGCTATCTAAAAAAAAGGGAAGCATATGATAAAATAATTATTACATGAACTTCACATGCCTGAATCTAGAATGAGGAAAAATATCATTCCTCTTCTTATTGTGTAATATGCCACAAACCATCAACACTTACATTATGATTTTTTTCTATCTGAATTTAATGAAAGCTGATTCTCAGTATATTTTAGAACACCTTGCTTGCAAAATTTCACAACAACCAATATATCTGATATTTCTCCTCTGAGTACTATAATATTAATGTACAAGATGTGGAATTCAACAAATCATATGATTAATCAGTGTGGAATAAATGTTCACTGATGTAAAAGTATTTATATCCTTTGACTATAAACTAACTGAGCTCTGAAATAAAAAAAATTAAATATAACTTTGTAAGCAATTTGTTTCAATTCCTAATCCATTTTTACAAGGCAACCATAAAATTGGAAAGTTTTACATTTCTCTTTGAGTGCTAAATAATGACACTCGACAAATAGATAAAATGAA